ACCTTTACATCTCTGTCGTTGTACCTAGTAAACAAATGCTTTGAAGGAAACAAAGACCTAGATGCTACATTTTCCAACCCGTCAACCTGTCGCTGGTTGCAGCTGCCTGATGTGACCTTATAGCTAACATCCGCTGTTTTGCAAAAAGTCCATAGCGTATGGATTTCACGTCAGGGGAAAAATATTTGATATTTCTTCTAACAAATCCTCTCCGCTAGGATAGATTTACTGTCAAGCACAAAATAAAATTTATATTTAGGCTAATAGAAAGTCCATCTATTTATTGGTTTCCGTTGGTATTTTATTACTTTTGTTGGCAGCCTGATGACCCCCCTCCCCCCCAAACACACACACTCATCTTCGTCCATCTTCGTCCACATCAGTCAATGTTTGGCAAAGGTGCTGACTTCGTATTTGCACCACCCTACCCTCCCTTAAAAACCCCAACCTCAGACCCCAAGATGAAATCATATTGGAGCTTCATACACTTGACCCTGATGGCTGGGGGTTGAGGTACGTGCTGTGATGTTGCTGCAGATGATGGTTGAGGATTATGATGATGGTGCTGGTTCCAGCTCTGTGCTACGAGCTGGAGAAGTGATTAGGGTTGCACCAGCGGAGTGTTAGCCTGACAGATGGCAACACACGGAGTTGGCTGACAGCAGTGCTGACGGCGCATTCACAGCAAGTCTCCATCTTGCATTCACTGTACGCTTTGTTTGTTGCGTTAGCTGTGAGTGTATTATTCTCCTCGCTATTCACTGTTTATTGCTCCTACCTGTCAGAGACGACTCGCCACGCCAATTCACAAATTTAATTTTGCCACGTCGCTGTGCTGACCCCCTTGTCACTGCAACAAAAGAGGCGGCCGGTGTCTAGTAGAAATCTTCAGCAGTTCATTATTCTGGCCGCTGGTCATTTATCAGGAGCTTTCTGTTTTTTGGGTAATTTATTCGTTGAGAGATCAATAAATTCTGAGTTATTTTCTGTCTGTTTGGACGGCAGCTCTGCCTCCATGTTAATGAATTGCCTGCTAAAATAGGTATGTTAATTGAATGACTGAATGCATTAGGACTTGTATCGAGTGCTGATCCGCGCTCTCTCTGCAAACAGCCCTGTTGAGTTGTTATACGGTTCAGTGATTGATTAAAGATGGGCAGAACCTCTGTCTGAGCCGCTCTAGTCAGTCGTGTTGTCTTCATCAGGAATGAAAGGAGACACAAATTGGCCTCGTGTGACAGGAACCGACGCTGTTCTCATTTCGACGTTTTCGTTTGACTCGATTTTGCAGCTTATTTTAAATCGTCCTCAGGGTTTGCAAATGCGGTTTTTAAGTCTTGTCATTTCATGGATGTTTTAAAGCATAAAGTCCTAACGTGTTCACTTCAGAGTGGTTGTACTCGCATACATATGTATGAGAGCGCGGCAGTAATGTGACTGATCAGATGTAACACAGAGCGAAGAAGATTTCCAGCCGGTCTTGTATAACCAGCAAAGCTGTGGATTGAAGGCACAAACGTGTTTGAACAAACAAAGGTTTATGTCTATTAATTTACAATGTAAAGGTTGGGTTTTTTTGCCAGGTACAAGACTGAAAACAGAAACCATGGTGTGTTAGGAATTATGAATTAATTTGAGAGATGAGTTCAGTGACATATAAAGATTAGGACTAGAAAGAAAGAAACGTATTTAGAGCAAAAAAGACATATGTCTTAATGAAAATACAATTAACTGAGTCAAACATTTCACCTGAACCTAACATCTATACAGACATTTTAGCTGTTATTGATTATGCATTTTCACCTAAGAAAAGATCAAAAAGACTGTTGGAGTGCTTCTGGATGTGTGCTGTCAGTACTAATACAATATGTGACAGTATAGTAGGTAGTGAGTACTGCAGAAAAGAGCTGAAATCCAAAGATGAAACCCATGTGATTTTTTTTTTCTTCGTTAGGTCCATGGGTTGGAGAAGCAAGTGGACTTCTCAGATCTGGGTCCAGTGGGATCGGTGATGAAAACTCTTCCATATGGCATGGGTGGAGGCACAGTGGGAGGAACAACAGGAGGGGTCGTTAAGCCTCCATACCAAACCCGTATCTTCTCCACTTCCATCGACCAGACACCCATCAAGTCCAAGCCGCCCACTTACAGTTTCTACAACCCCTACGACCCAAACCGAAACCAGTCGCTGCTCCTGGATCAGACAGGCTATCGCTCTAAGCGCAAGCCATCGCATAAGACCTCCACGAAGACCAAGAAGATTTTTGGCTGGGGTGATTTCTACTTCAATGTCAGGACCTTGAAGTTCAGCTTGTTGGTGACAGGGAAGATTGTGGACCATATCAACGGAACATTCACCGTTTACTTCCGTCACAACTCCTCAAGCCTGGGGAACGTTTCGGTCAGCATCGTGCCACCGACCAAAGTGGTGGAGTTTGAGGTCCTCCAGCAGCAGCAGCCACATCTGTACCCTCACACTCAGCAAGACCTCCAGATCCATGACAACCAGCAGACCACTCTTGACCCCAAAGAGACAAAGACATTCAACTGTCGGGTGGAGTACGAGAAAACCAACAGATCCAAGAAGCCCAAACCCTGCTTGTACGACCCGTCTCAGACCTGCTTCACGGAACACACCCAGTCTCACTCTGCCTGGCTCTGTGCTAAACCCTTCAAGGTGATCTGCATTTTCATCTCTTTCTTCAGCATCGACTACAAGCTGGTTCAAAAAGTGTGTCCGGACTACAACTTCCAAAGTGAGCACCCTTACCTTGGATAAGTAAGTGAGACTGAGCTGAGAAAATATATGATGTATGGACCATATTAATGTCAAAGATGATGAAAACTATGATAATGATGGAAATGATAGTCATATTGATTACAGTAAAGACGCAGGGGGCAGTTTTTTTGCCCCTCGACTGCTGTGAATTGTGAATATAAAACAATTGTAATCGCAGTTACTGATGGTAAAAATGTGGTTGATTTCTCTCTGAATTATTTTCCAACTTTGTATATATGACTTTAGTTTCTATTTATTTCTTTACATGTTCCCTGTAAATACTGTACTCATACTGGGACAAAAAAAACCTTTATTGTTTCTAGATATTTGTTTCTCAATGTTATTACTTTTTGCAGTTAGGGAAGACGGTTGGAAAAAGCTGGAATCATTATAATGCCTTCGGATTACACAGTAAACCTCGGAAACGTGTGAATGTGCCGTCACTTTAAGGCAGACATAATGTTATGGTAGACTGACTGTTAATCATCCACCTCAACCATATGTTTCGAACCCTGGATGTAGGAGAGTTATATGTATGAGAAACGCTATGCTGGAAATGCATACAATATACTGTATGAAAAAGCACATTAAAATCTCTTAAACTGTCTCTCTGTCACGTCTTCATTCCTCGCTGCAGGCATGCACGAGCTCTGCAGCGCGGTTACGTTATCACATCCAGCAAGAGGAACTATTAAGAATTTGGTTACAATTCCCTTCTGATTAGAAAGGCATGACTATGCTTTTTGTGAAGATATGAAGTTTTTTAATTTTCAGAAATGTATTAAAATGATTTAATGTGGAAAACCAATTTTAAGACATTTTAAAGATGGCATTGATTTCTGACTCTTTTTAAAGGAGATGGAAAATACAAGGAAATATTATTTTTAACGAAATTTTCAGGTTGTTACACCTGAGCAAACATTGGATCAGTTAGTCCCAGGCCCTTAGGTGTCTTCAACATACTATCTTAGATAAGCCGGATGTTATCAAAAGAAAACCAGTATTTTGTGATGCTAATGTCATCAAACAACCTTAAACCACACCCAGCCCTTCAGACAATCTCCAGCTTAGCATCATTGACTCCTCATGCCCAACATTTCTAACTTGATGATAATTGGACATAGAATTTCATTAGATAACACGCAGTCATTGAATCTTCATCTCAGTCCTGCTCAATAACCTATTATGATCTTGATCAATGACATTGAGATGAGATCAATGTATTTTACACAGGTTACTGAGAACAGTTTGGACAATGTGATTGCTGGAGTAGCTAGTTTTTCTGGCATTCCAGCCACTCCACAGCCACCAACCAATTAGGGTATAATAAATGAAAAAAATGTGTATAAAGCATGGCGGTCAGGAATCCCACTGTACCACCACACTACTCTTGCTCCCAACAAATAAAAATTAGTGAATCATCAACATAATATGTAAGGAACACAACTTCTACATTATAATTTGTTTAATATTGATTTTTTTTTTATTCCAGGGTCAGAATTTAATATCACTAGTTAATGACTGAATAACAGAAATTTGGTATAATTATCCACTGATGATATCTTTGTCTGATATCTCTGTGTGTTTGAGATAGCCAAACACACAGAGATACAGTTCATAGCCAAGAAAAAAATAAAATGTAAAATAACAAAAGCCTCTGCTTTTGCTGACAAACAAATTAAATATACTTATTCCAAAATGCAGTTCTAGTTCCAAAATGAAGGTTGTGATTTCGCTTTGATGTTTTAAGAATTACATTTATACTAAAGTAATGTCGACCGGACAGCTGTTTGTGGCTCTACCCTTTCTCACTGAGGACCGTGAACCTTTTCTGCCTACAAGTCCCATTGGGGCTTTCGGCCGGATACACGTCACTACCCGTCGCCAACAGCGAGGACCCGCCTTTTCCGTTGCCTATCAGCGGTGTTTTCGGAGTGAGCGTGTGCGAGTGTTTCTGAGCTGGCTGCTGGTCTCCCACTTTCTCTCTGCCTTCACTGAGAACTGGAAACATGCTCTCCTTCGCTGCAAGACAACTCACGCGGGTGAGTAAACCAGCGCATTCGTGACTTTAGTTGTGTTAAAGTTTAGACGGTGTTTTTGTTTAGCTGTGTTGCTAATAAGCTGGACCCGCTGCTGCTCAATGGGGTCCTCACTTCGGTTTAAATATCAAACATAAACAGTGGAGTTGGTGTTTAAAGTAACTAAACCTTTTAAGTATTTCATATCTCCTTCAAAATTTCCAATGTTACAAGTGTTTGCTGTTTGTTGGCGTGTAGCTGTTAAGCTAGGTGTAGAGTTGCCTCTGTATGTTATATGCGTGCTGCAGCAGTGTCCACGTAATGATGCAACAGCGGCTGCTCAGTTTCATCATGTATGAGTGAACGAGAGGTAAAACAAGGTTACACTACCACAACTCGCCTCCTAGTTAGAATAAAACGCCGTATTATTACTCTGTTTATAATCACAAGTACAAATGTTCAGTGTTACTATATGTGCTGTATGCTTTTATTTAATATTTCCCCTGTATTGCGTTTAACTTTAAGATAAACAACCAGTTCTACACGAGTCCAGATAAGACGTGTCCCAGACCTCCATATAAAAACTAGAATTAACTGGTCTTTTCCCTTACTGATGTCCAAAGTGCAAAAATAACTAGAAGTGTACCTGCCAAACGCTAAGCAAATATTAACCTTTTCAACTTTGAGACCATTATGTAACAGATAAAATAGTTTTTATGGCCCACTTTCCAGTGGTTTCAGAATGTCCTTGGCTTTGTTTTAATATGAAATGCTGCACAAATGTTATTTTATTACTTTAATAAATCACTGTATATGGGCCAATGATAAGTAAAGCTTCTAAAAATGTATTTCTAAAAAGTATTTTCAACAAAGATGTAGTGCATATTTTTGAGTACAGGATATGTTTGAACAACAACTATTCTAACTTTTTAACAGTATTTTTAATTTTTCAGACCAAATATTTACATATATATTCATATTTATATGAATATATATATTCCTTTAGAAATATTCCTACTATATAGCATCAATTTCTTTGTAAAATAAATGAAGTGATACATGTCATAAATAGTTTAAATTACCTAAATAAAAAATGGACTATACACAAACATATGCTCATCATGTCATTGTTCAGATTAATTGTGGACAGTCAATGACTTCAACTAGGTTTGAAATATTCAACAGTTTAAAATGCATAGTTTTCCTAGGCCCTTTGTCCTGTTGTTTTTAGACAGCATTGGTTCATTGAATTGAATTAATGTATGTTTTAATGAATTAGCATTCTGTTATTTAGTTATTTTTTGCATTAGCTAAGAAGCAAACTAAAGTGTTTCTTCTCTACATTTACCTTAATTTTTTTTAAAAAGCCACCACAATATGTGTGCTTTTTGTGTTATTGCATTGTTGTAAATTCCTATGTTTTTGTTTTATACAAAGGTATATACATATGTAGATGCTTGGACTAAAACAATCATTTAAATTTTAATTGATTGACAAAATAAATGCCCTGCATCTAATTTTGTATGTTTTACCGTTTAGCGTGTTTTCTAACCGAAAACTGTAAAATAAATACTAAAAGGCACTGGTTCTCGTATAAAAAAAACCCTGCACCCAAAATTATGCAGTTAGTTAGTTAGTACTAGAATGTTGGAATTTTACTTTCCCCTTCAACTGAGTGATTCATGTGCTTGCATACTCTTTCTATTCAAGCCAGTTAGTCAGGTTTAGTTCTTAATTGACTTTTAGAGGTCTCACAAGACTCTATTTTTTTTTTAAAGGTCCCATGTTCCATTGACTTGATGTGTGTAGAAAACAGAATGTTTTCCATCCATTCAAGTATTTGAAAATGTATTTTTTCAAAATCCATCAAGGAAAACATGTTCCTTTAATGTGGACCTGTTGCTGCAAGTTTCCAATTCTTTACATTCCTGTCATCAGTACAGGTCTACCAAGCCCCAGTTCATTAGTCTTGGAGTAATGCAACAATAATCATCACGCATGAGAAATGGGTAATTGTTTCTCTTTGGGTTTAGTTATTTGTTGCAAGAAAAACCAGGTTGTTTTCTGCCTTAGGTAGATCAGTGTCCCACCAGGTTGTGAAATTTAATAAGCCAAAGAAGTCGGCAGACACAAGTCATCATAAGCCTAAGCCTAAAAATCATCAATTATTGGAATTGTAGACACAAAGTGTTTTGTGAACTAGAACTGAACTATAAAAAGTATTCAGATAGTCCATGAATTAAGCAAGTGTAAATACAAGTGATCGTAACATAAAAGAAAGTCTTCTGAAAATCTCTAACATTATGTACGTTATGTAGTAAAGGGGCGTTATTGCTTGAATTCATAAGAGACATGGCATGAGCATGTGCAGATGCTGTTATCTCTCAAGGCTTTAAGTACCCGCCCCACCTCACCCTGTAACGGATCCTATCTATTCAATAAAGTACTATGTTATATGTGTCAGAACAACAAAACCCATGAATTCAGTCAGGGATATGTGTAGATACTGGAGTTTATTAAAATGTGTTTTTTTTATACCAAAACAGTACCGATTACATTTTTGTGCAAATTGAACACAAACCTCAGTAAAATAGAGCAGTTCTTCCCTATAAGCATGTGGCAAGTTAGCTACTACCTACAATGGTGGTCATCCTCATAAATACAGCACATGGGAGAAGAGGAAAAGAAAATGTGGAACTGTATTTTAATGTCAACCCCACAACCATTAGCTCCAGATAGTGTGAAGTCTTCTTCGATACAGCATTGTCTTTTCGCACTACTTCACCTCAGCCGCAGCTCCCGGTCTAGTGTCATCTAGACTGAATCACAGGCCAATTTATAATGGACAACCCTGCTATTAGTTGGTGACAGGAAACGGAGCAGCAGTGTGCCAGAGTTACTGGATGCTCTTGCCCTGTTGACACCTCTACTTCTCCACCGTATGTCTCTTTTTCTTTGCCGTTTCTCCTCCAGTTTTTTCTAGTTTTCTCCGGTACAGGCAGATTGTTGTTTGGTATTGCCTCTGATGAGCAGCAGTCATCTGTAAAATTGGCTTGCTTCAAAGCTGCATCCGGAAATGGACAAAAAAAAAACACAAGTAGTGATAATGAAACGATTTTCCCTCTTCCTGGTATTTCTTTCTCTGTCTTCGTCATTTGGGCACAGATGTTAGCCAGGAAAGTCAAACTGCTGACAATTACTTTATCATTTCCAGGCAGATGCAGCACATCTGTGACTGTACTTTTACTGAGTGCTCAACACCTCTGTTGATGTGGCCTATTCTGCTCCTTTTCATCACATTAGAGTTTTTCAACAAGTTCACCTTCAAACGACAGCATAATCTGGTGCCAAGAATACACCCACTTTGACAGTGTGTTGCCTGTGACTTGGATCTCACTCTGCTTGGATAAGTTAATCTTGTCTTCATTATTTAATCTCAGTCTTAAGACAGAGGTGGACTGCAGGGACTGACCTGTATGTGGTCTGTTTCCATCCACCGTTCTTACACAAGTGCGTCTTGTCTGAGTGTATAAAAAGTGCAGGGTGACATGATCAGGACAGCAGGATAGGAAGGAAAAAAAGAAGAGAATAATGTGCAGGTGAGGAGGAAGGAAAGGTACCCTTGTCGGTTTTGCAGTCATCCGTTGTACTCTAACTATGGCAATGTCCTGGTGGCTTTATTTTTGCAGCCATGGTGTGTCCTAGTACAATTTCAGACAGCAAAGGACATTTTCCGTCAAGGTTTAATGACCTGTGTGATTTTGCTGCAAAAAAAAACTGTCCTCAGAGGCAGCCTGTCCTGTCTCCCCAGGCCTTGCTCTTTTTCAGAACCCTGGGGAAGGGACCCGTCTTCTCATGTCCACATTCTCCACTGCCCATGGTGACAGAAGGCCAAGGTAGTGATCGTTAGAAATCTGCTCTTAATGTGGCCCTGGTGTGTCACCCATGTCCCCTCTGCCCCACTCTGGGGAGTGGATAAAAAGAGGGAGTAAAAAAGATGTGACTAAGTAAATTCTAATTTACTTTTTAAGCACTAAATCCAAGACAAACAAGAATTTGACTTGATATAACCAGTATATTAGTTGCTCATGGCTCCTTTCGCGGATCACGTTGTTTAGAAATGTTGACATTTCAAATACTGCAAAGAATTATAAATTCTGCCATCTACTGGTGGCAAACGTATCTACAGTTTGTCGAGCGAGACAAATAGAATGGGGCAACATAAGTTCATCAACATGGGCAATCGCCGGGGAACACATAGGTTTATGACCACCTGTAAAAACACTGCTGTGATAATGCTCTTTAAATGACTTGTGCTGAACATGCCCACTGGTTCACCGTAGGTTACCATTTTATGGCCCATAGCAGGTCTAATGGTGTTTTGAGGACCGTCATATTATGTCTTGTGAGGCTTGTCCCAATGGGTATCAGAATACACTCAGAAAGGCTGACTCTGGTGACTACTACTATGGTTCAGCATAGAATAGCCCTTTGTGCACCTCCACTTTTAGCTGAAAATCAAACGATTGCTCAAACGATTTTATACATTACAGAATCCTCAGCTAAAGTGATTTAAAAGTTGTGTTCAAGGCATTCAGCGGTTCACTTAGGTTTGCATCTTGCTGCAGAATCAGTGTATGAGGAAAAGTTGGCACAAAGTTGGAACATTCTGCACAGAAATGTCCAACTACTGACAAAGAAAATGGAAAATGAAAGGAGGACAGCGACATACATTATGACTCTGGGAATTTGTGATATATAATTTTTTGTCAATATCTGTGTATTTATTCATATTACATCTCAAACAAACACATTGAATATTTCAGGAAAAAGTCAAAACAGTTTTTTTATGGTTAATTACTTGATGCATTTATTTGGTTGTATTCTTTGCATCCCTGGTATTTATATACATTTCCTTTATGATACATATAGATGTACCCTTTAAAATTACAAAAGTAATATGCATTACAGTCATTAAGAAAATCTCAATCACTCAATCACTTGCACTGCAGTAAAGCAACTGGAATCATTCTTCTGTCTTGTGGGCATCCTCAGTCACTCCTCAGCATTGTGTTAATCGCTTTTTAATGGCACTATTAAAGAGAGGTTGTCCGTGACACTGGGCTACACCTGCACAGATGATAACTATAGGTTGGTTGGCAGGATTGATGTCAACATAGACTCATCATCATACTGTTGATTAAATGAAAGAAGGGAGTGAATTTGTTCTGAGTGCAATCAACCAGCTCAGGATATTTTTTTTTCATTTCTAACCTCTGATTATTCTTCTGGAAAGTGATCTGCTTAATGATCGGGATTTGCAAAGGGGACTTTAGGACAGAAGGGCACAAAGTATTGGGGACTTTAAGATTCATTCATTATAGCATATACTTAAAGCAGGGTAAGGGTGGAGTGGAGGAACACGGACTAAATGTATTGATGTTTTAATCAGCCCCCAAAGAAGTTCCACAGCCAGTGAAAATCGTACGGCCTTTCCCCCGTTTTCATTCACATGATCACACTGAACAGCAGCTGTGGAAGAGGAACTCACCAGCCCCAGTCCAGATTAGATAAGCAGGAAGTGCTGAATCTGGTCTCTACATGCCTCCCTTGGTACACTTAGGCTGTAAAAGTCAGTCACTCACAAAATTGCTGACAGAGGCAAAATTTAAACACCCGTGCTGATAACAGATATCGCACAAACATGCCAGCTTTTAATTACACCATTTTACACATTAGACAGTGGGGAACAGGAAGGCAAAATGCTGAAATCTGTGCTCGTTTTGTTGGGATAGTTCAGGAAAAAAATCACTCATGTTTGCATACTTTTTGCCATTGAAACACTGGATCAGCAATGTTATCACCAAAGAGGGAAATCATAAACATCCAAGATGGATGATGTAATTTCAAAAGTTGTCCAGTTTTAAGAGTTCAGACATATTGAGACATGTCTCTGTCACCAACAGTGTGGACAAGTTTAATCATTATATCTTTTGCAAGTGTTGATCTTGCCAAGTGTTGAGGCCTGTCAATCCTCAGTTATGTCAAAATCAGAGGAAACATCAATTTTTAACTACGGTTGATTGGATTCCAATAAATTGTGTGCAAAACTGTCTTAGGTCTTTGGACAAGGAACATGTCTGAAGAAGATATAGATAGAAGCAAATTGTGACATGGTGGAGAAGACAAACACACCCAAACAAAACACTTGCAAGGAGTTTAGACCTGAATTGAGGATATGTGGAGGAATTGCTTTATTTTTTTCATACTTCTCTTTTTTCTGTTGTCTTTAAATGTTTTTGACTGTGTGCTTATTTATGTTTCTCTGACACAGCCCCTGTGCCAAAGAGTCCCACTTCGGCTCAGCTTACGTGGGCAACAGTCCCATGCTGCCACCCATTCAACAAATGAGGACCGTCCATGGACAGGCCAGGAGAGCTTGGCCCAGGACGACCCAGAGATGTGGACTCTGCTGCAGAAGGAGAAAGACAGACAGTGCCGTGGTCTAGAGCTCATTGCCTCTGAGGTAAAACACTACCTGAACCAATTGCTGAGAATTAATTAAAAAACTTTTTTTTTTGACATTTAATGACATTTTCAGCCATTAAAAGTAGGAAACGACTTGCTTTTTGCACAAAAAAACTTCACTTAACGAAGTGTTAGAAAATAGCAGTATAAAAGAAACCAACCAGACAGACAAATACAAATCATTGAGAGCTGTGGATTAATCTGGTAATGAAGCAACACTGCTTTGAGCGCTGTCAAATTGGTTCCCCTTGAATAAAGAACTTTCACCATCTCTAAAGAAACAGTGAAGTATACTTTTTGGTACGCCAACATAGGATCACAGTAAAATACTACACCAATAATACTATACCACTAAGTTCCTGAAGTAATCTCCGAAAATAAAAGTTTCTCAAAAATGACTAAAAATACACTAATTTGCCTTAAAATACTTAGCTATGTCCATTTCTGTTGTTAAAATTCAGAAAAAATATACTTTTTTGGTACGCCAACATAGGATCACAGTAAAATACTACACCAATAATACTATACCTTAAGTTCCTGAAGTAATCTCCGAAAATAAAAGTTTCTCAAAAATGACTAAAAATACACTAATTTGCCTTAAAATACTTAGCTATGTCCATTTCTGTTGTTAAAATTCAGAAAAAATATACTTTTTTGGTACGCCAACATAGGATCACAGTAAGATACTATCCCAGTAATACTATACCTTAAGTTCCTGAAGTAATCTCCGAAAATAAAAGTTTCTCAAAAATGACTAAAAAGACACTAATTTGCCTTAAAATACTTAGCTATGTCCATTTCTGTTGTTAAAATTCAGAAAAAATATACTTTTTTGGTACGCCAACATAGGATCACAGTAAGATACTATCCCAGTAATACTATACCTTAAGTTCCTGAAGTAATCTCCGAAAATAAAAGTTTCTCAAAAATGACTAAAAAGACACTAATTTGCCTTAAAATACTTAGCTATGTCCATTTCTGTTGTTAAAATTCAGAAAAAATATACTTTTTTGGTACGCCAACATAGGATCACAGTAAGATACTATCCCAGTAATACTATACCTTAAGTTCCTGAAGTAATCTCCGAAAATAAAAGTTTCTCAAAAATGACTAAAAAGACACTAATTTGCCTTAAAATACTTAGCTATGTCCATTTCTGTTGTTAAAATTCAGAAAAAATATACTTTTTTGGTACGCCAACATAGGATCACAGTAAGATACTATCCCAGTAATACTATACCTTAAGTTCCTGAAGTAATCTCCGAAAATAAAAGTTTCTCAAAAATGACTAAAAAGACACTAATTTGCCTTAAAATACTTAGCTATGTCCATTTCTGTTGTTAAAATTCAGAAAAAATATACTTTTTTGGTACGCCAACATAGGATCACAGTAAGATACTATCCCAGTAATACTATACCTTAAGTTCCTGAAGTAATCTCCGAAAATAAAAGTTTCTCAAAAATGACTAAAAAGACACTAATTTGCCTTAAAATACTTAGCTATGTCCATTTCTGTTGTTAAAATTCAGAAAAAATATACTTTTTTGGTACGCCAACATAGGATCACAGTAAGATACTATCCCAGTAATACTATACCTTAAGTTCCTGAAGTAATCTCCGAAAATAAAAGTTTCTCAAAAATGACTAAAAAGACACTAATTTGCCTTAAAATACTTAGCTATGTCCATTTCTGTTGTTAAAATTCAGAAAAAATATACTTTTTTGGTACGCCAACATAGGATCACAGTAAGATACTATCCCAGTAATACTATACCTTAAGTTCCTGAAGTAATCTCCGAAAATAAAAGTTTCTCAAAAATGACTAAAAAGACACTAATTTGCCTTAAAATACTTAGCTATGTCCATTTCTGTTGTTAAAATTCAGAAAAAATATACTTTTTTGGTACGCCAACATAGGATCACAGTAAGATACTATCCCAGTAATACTATACCTTAAGTTCCTGAAGTAATCTCCGAAAATAAAAGTTTCTCAAAAATGACTAAAAAGACACTAATTTGCCTTAAAATACTTAGCTATGTCCATTTCTGTTGTTAAAATTCAGAAAAAATATACTTTTTTGGTACGCCAACATAGGATCACAGTAAGATACTATCCCAGTAATACTATACCTTAAGTTCCTGAAGTAATCTCCGAAAATAAAAGTTTCTCAAAAATGACTAAAAAGACACTAATTTGCCTTAAAATACTTAGCTATGTCCATTTCTGTTGTTAAAATTCAGAAAAAATATACTTTTTTGGTACGCCAACATAGGATCACAGTAAGATACTATCCCAGTAATACTATACCTTAAGTTCCTGAAGTAATCTCCGAAAATAAAAGTTTCTCAAAAATGACTAAAAAGACACTAATTTGCCTTAAAATACTTAGCTATGTCCATTTCTGTTGTTAAAATTCAGAAAAAATATACTTTTTTGGTACGCCAACATAGGATCACAGTAAGATACTATCCCAGTAATACTATACCTTAAGTTCCTGAAGTAATCTCCGAAAATAAAAGTTTCTCAAAAATGACTAAAAAGACACTAATTTGCCTTAAAATACTTAGCTATGTCCATTTCTGTTGTTAAAATTCAGAAAAAATATACTTTTTTGGTACGCCAACATAGGATCACAGTAAGATACTATCCCAGTAATACTATACCTTAAGTTCCTGAAGTAATCTCCGAAAATAAAAGTTTCTCAAAAATGACTAAAAAGACACTAATTTGCCTTAAAATACTTAGCTATGTCCATTTCTGTTGTTAAAATTCAGAAAAAATATACTTTTTTGGTACGCCAACATAGGATCACAGTAAGATACTATCCCAGTAATACTATACCTTAAGTTCCTGAAGTAATCTCCGAAAATAAAAGTTTCTCAAAAATGACTAAAAAGACACTAATTTGCCTTAAAATACTTAGCTATGTCCATTTCTGTTGTTAAAATTCAGAAAAAATATACTTTTTTGGTACGCCAACATAGGATCACAGTAAGATACTATCCCAGTAATACTATACCTTAAGTTCCTGAAGTAATCTCCGAAAATAAAAGTTTCTCAAAAATGACTAAAAAGACACTAATTTGCCTTAAAATACTTAGCTATGTCCATTTCTGTTGTTAAAATTCAGAAAAAATATACTTTTTTGGTACGCCAACATAGGATCACAGTAAGATACTATCCCAGTAATACTATACCTTAAGTTCCTGAAGTAATCTCCGAAAATAAAAGTTTCTCAAAAATGACTAAAAAGACACTAATTTGCCTTAAAATACTTAGCTATGTCCATTTCTGTTGTTAAAATTCAGAAAAAATATACTTTTTTGGTACGCCAACATAGGATCACAGTAAGATACTATCCCAGTAATACTATACCTTAAGTTCCTGAAGTAATCTCCGAAAATAAAAGTTTCTCAAAAATGACTAAAAAGACACTAATTTGCCTTAAAATACTTAGCTATGTCCATTTCTGTTGTTAAAATTCAGAAAAAATATACTTTTTTGGTACGCCAACATAGGATCACAGTAAGATACTATCCCAGTAATACTATACCTTAAGTTCCTGAAGTAATCTCCGAAAATAAAAGTTTCTCAAAAATGACTAAAAAGACACTAATTTGCCTTAAAATACTTAGCTATGTCCATTTCTGTTGTTAAAATTCAGAAAAAATATACTTTTTTGGTACGCCAACATAGGATCACAGTAAGATACTATCCCAGTAATACTATACCTTAAGTTCCTGAAGTTTTTTTTTTTTCTCACGTGATTCATTTATAAAAACAACTGATTTAATTCATTTGATACATTCAGAGGCTTTACAGCAGAGGTGTCAAACTCAGTTAGGTTCACGGCCCGCATACACCCAAATTAGATGTCAAGTGGGCCGGACCAGTACAATCGTAACCTAATTAACTATAAATAACAATAAGTCCACGATTTTCCCCTTTGTTTTCATGCAAAGAAGTTTAAGTATATTAGATATTTATTACTATTTATTAATATTTAAAGAATAATACTTGTTTGTGTAATTTCTTTATTTCCAAAATTTAATCAAGCGGGCCGGATAAAATGACCTAGTGGGCCAGCTTTGGCCCACAGGCCGCATGTTTGACACCTCTGCTTTACAGTCCATGTGTAACAAAATAAATTGACCCAAAATTTAAAAAAAAAATGTTTTTGCTTCAATTGGAAACCATTTTTTGTTGACCTTCACAGAGTAAATAAAACAGAAAAACAGCTTTTTATACACAATTCGTCCTTTTTAACAGATCTTAATTGTCGGCATCACATGAAAATAAACTGGCAGGGATTCGGCTTTAATCCAAATCCATTTGTTGTTTTTAGCCTTTATGACTGTCATATGAGTTTGTCGATATTAAATTTAAAGGAACCATTTAGTGAAGAAAAAACGATTGTCAAAGCTAGAAAAGATGGGTGTGGGTGTTAAAAAAAATATAGATATATATACTGTATGTGTGTATGAATGAACATACACGTGTGTGTGTGTGTGTTTTTTTTTTTTTTAATTTCCTCCTCGAATAGCAGACCGTGCTTTATCTGGCGTTGTTTTTCCCTCTGCTCTTTCTGTGTCTTCTTTGCCACAGCAGTTGTTCAGTGGAGTAGATCATCCTGCTCTCAGCACAGAGCCTGACCACTCTGCTGTGAGATAAAGCTGATATCTTCATTCTGCTTCTTCTCACTGTGGCAGGAACATCACAGGCATACATACATTCCCAAGACCTCTCAGCGCGCACACACACACACACACAGTGATTTCCTCTCCCTGTTGGCCAACCTTATTGACATTATTCTAAACCAATTATAGCCATGTGCACAGTGTTTTCATTCTAATGAGAAATTGCGCCACTTTACTAATCATCCAGGATCTGTGTAAAATATCTGTAAATTTATGTATATATAAATATATAATATAATATATAAATATGCAATGTATATAATTACTGGGTCATTATGAATGGACTTTTTCCTATGTGTCAGCTCCGTCACAACAACCCCACTCAGAGGGAGGCTTTAATTAAAGCGTAAGCGCTTACAAATATCAATTACAGTGGTTCTGAAACAAAGGTCTCTCTGTGATAGAAGCTCTGCCTCAGAGGCTTTTTGCCCTCAGTCAATGGTGTAAACAAAGGCTCAGGTCACAAATCAAGGAAATATGATCATAAAACTTAATGCTAGACTTCATCGGCCCCGAGGCTCAGTGTGTGGTCAGGTTGAAGTCCCCACTAAGATGCAAACAGCAGAGTACAAACAGTCGATGGCGTGCCAAATGGATTTCTTTTTCTAATATATGCAGTCATTAGAATGACAGACAGAGAGGCTACAGTAAAACGCTTTCTGAAGCTGTTATCTTTCTCTTTATCACCTCATTGCTCCCAGGTGAAGCATTTGCATATTTTCACTCCCCTAAACACCGCGCCCCCCACCACACACATACACTAGAAATCACAAAACACACTGGCTTTTGTGTTTGTGAGCACTTAACATAGAAATAATGCATTCCTCAACACCAGGAGCGTCTGCAACCTGTGGATCCTGAGCTGCATGCATTCCTTTTGCAATGCAAAAGTTCTTTAGTGTCCTTTTGAACTGGCTCCCTGTATAATGATATTTAACACTGGAGGAGGAACCATTGTCATAAATAAGATAAGTGTTAACTCCACTGTCTGCAGAAAGGTTTTTTTTTTTTAAATAAAGTTTAAACCAGTCTTACATGACGCATACAGTTCGGGGCAATGTGGATACTTACAACATTTGCATATTGTATGGTTTCTGTTTGAAACCTTAGGATCGTATGATCCAATCCATTACAAAACAAAACATTAAAAAAACAACTACAGCCCGTCCAATTTGATACCTTAGCCCGATTGCGCAACTTAACTTTGTGCGACGTGTAAATGAAGACACTGTAGCCTCAGCAGCGATAGCCCTTGGCGTGGATTAGATTTTGGTATTGGCAGAAACTCCAAGTTGCAGTATCAGTATCAGACACGAGAAAGTTGAGCCATCCCTAGGTAAACCACCAATAAAATGCTTCCCTTGTGTAATTCCTGATGGTTCTGTAATATGACAACAGCATTTAGAACATTTTACACTGCATTATTGACTTGATTTGATGAACTTTATTCAACGATAAAAAATATCTCCTCCGGTGTTGTAGTGGAGCTGTAGAAAACGATTTTCACGTCTTTTTGATTTATTACTTCTTTTTTTTTTGCCATAATGAATGGAAACTGAAGCAGTTTTAATGAGCCACTACTGCTGTATCTTTTCTGACATTGGTGCTTTTACAGAAATGCTAATCACAGTTGTTTTTATGATGTTTTATATGTTGTTTTCTTCCCCATGTCTTGTACATGGCTGTTAACATGCAGTTTTCCTAATTTGCCTAGTGGAGTTTTTTTTTAATATATACATTTTCTTCAGCCAGCCATACTCGACTGCAAAATAATGAAAGGTGCCGTACTTATTTATCAGAGTTTGTGGGCGAAAAAAAAAAAAATGATTGCATTGTCTTGTATCCTCCAGGAGTGAAGTGATAAGCATTGTTGAGTGTGGAGTGTTAGTGGATGGAAGTCCAGCGGTTCAATACTGTAATGATTGCCTTTAGCTGCAGGGGGATTTCTCACTATCACTTAACAGACTTTAATTTGCCGTCCTTGTCCCTTTTGTCCACTGGCAGCATTGATCTGAGTGTGTGTTCTTTTGTGTGTGTGTTATTGCCACAGAATTTCTGCAGTCGAGCGGCCCTGGAAGCTCAAGGCTCCTGTCTGAACAACAAATATTCTGAAGGCTACCCAGGTAGAAGGTGAGCATTTATTCAGCCACACCCCAGATTATTAGGACAGTGGACATTCTCTGCTCTGGGACACGCACACAAACACCACACAAACCAACTTATAAAGCTCCACACTGATTTATACACTGCATTCTAGCGTGCCCTATTACTATGCCAACCACACAGCCCATTATTCACAGCTACTGCTATGCTAAAGATGATTCCTTTGGGGATTCATTGGAAGAACTTAGTGTCAGGCTAATAGTTCATTTTTTTTATATTCCGTTTCCCTGTTTTGTATTATTTCACTTGGTTAATTTACATTTAACAACAGAAAACGGAGCTGATCTGTTCTGAAATGTTGCTCATTTGATTCATGGCAGTTGTGGAATACGTGTCTACCAATAAATCTTCCTCCCCCATGAATATGTAAATTTCTTTTTTTTCTTCCATACTCTGCTGCTATAATGTTTCACATTTTAATGTAATGAACCAAATGGATGAATATAAGCCCATGATGTCAGGGAATACATTTGTTTGTACAATATTCATCCGTTAGTATGTCATTTGTTAATTCAATTGAAAAACTCTCACAAGCAACTCCATCTATCTACTTGTCTTTGTTTTTCTACCGTTTTGTTGTTAAAATTGGAATTTAATTTTCTTATTTTTTAGCCCTCGGAAGCCTAATTACTTTCCCCGGTTTCTCGTGTATCCACAGATACTACGGTGGAGCAGAGGTGGTCGACCAGATTGAGCTCCTTTGTCAGAGACGAGCTCTGGAGGCCTTCAAGCTGGACCCAGAAGAGTGGGGTGTGAATGTCCAGCCTTATTCTGGCTCACCTGCGAACTTTGCCGCATACACTGCAGTGTTGAACCCACATGACCGCATCATGGGCCTGGACCTGCCTGATGGAGGACAGTCAGTAGACATTGTTTTTTTTATATATATTCATTTATTTACTTTTTCTTAAGCTTATAAGTTTAGTCTTTCGGTCATTTATTTACCACAATGTATTTAAAAAACTAATGTTTTGCCTCTTTTTCTGTTTGTTTCTCTGTTTGTTCCGGTTTGTCACCCAAGTCTGACACATGGCTACATGTCTGACGTAAAAAGGATCTCAGCGACCTCAATCTATTTTGAGTCCATGCCCTACAAACTAAGTGTAAGTGTACCCCCCCCCACTCCCTCTACTGAAGTGTCTAACCCTGTGACGTTAACCAACAGTCAGCATTGCTGTTTAGAATGGTGATATTCTGATAATCTCTCCAATGAAGAGCCTTTCTGAACCTGAAATCCCATTTTCAGAAGGCAACTAACTATAACTGTGCCAGTATGAACAGTGAAACACCATTGGTCAGTTCTGCTCATATGGCAGTCATAGCTGCTACTGTGGTCTCATATCACAGGATTGGTTACTTGGATTGGCAACTGTTCTGCCATTTCTGCCAATATTAACGTTATTGTGCAAACGCGGTGAAGGTGGATCTTGTTTTTATTACCAGACACATATTTGTCTTCTGATATTGAGAGATAAAAACAGACGTTTCCTTTGGGCAGTGACATTGTAAAAAAACCATGCTAACAGAGCTGCTTCTCCACCTGCAGGTGAGACTAGATAACATGTAGATATGGCCGTGGTCTTGTACCAGAATGTAGTTTTTTGATCTTTGGGACATAGTTGTGTGGTTTCGTTGGTTGCGGCTGATGGATGGCCACGAAAGTCAGCATGTCCAGACCTGCTGATGTATGGGCTGGCAGGACCCCTCTGCAAGAGAGATAATGGGAAATCGACAGGCCGGCCAGCACCACTGGCTCTGTCTCTACAATGAGCGGCTTGATGGAGTGAGGGGGCATCCATAGATGTGCTCCAGAGATGGGAGATTATTAGGTTGTCTAAATAAAGCTTCCCTCCTGTTTTTCTCTTTCTTAGCCCCCGCCCTTCCTTTTTTCCT